CAGATAGGAGAATTCAGTTGGGGCTAGGTAGGTTCACTTGTGCCTACATGAGGACACAGTGACACAGCGTGTAAGCCGAAGCTTTATTTTATAGTCAGAGCACACAAAGCAAAACAAGGGAAGTGGTCAACATATTTACAATGTTCTTGCAAAGTTCAAATCTGCTTCTTTCCTGTTGTTGCCATTCCCTACTCTCTATCAAGCTTTGTTTAGGCAGCACTTGCTGCACCTCCCACAGCCCATTAGCTTCCTAGGAATAAGGGAGGACTATAGGGTCATGCTTAATTATGCTAGGAGGGCTCTGCCCTCCAAGTTAGGACTTGTTTGTGGCCCTGCCACAGGTCAGTCCAAGGCTTGACCTTATAGCTGCTCCTTACACTTACACTGTCTTTATATTTTTGGATTCTTTTTCTTTTTGCTTTTCAGGTTGGGTGATTTTTGCTTCCTCATATTTCAAATCGTTGATTTGATTCCCAGAATCCTTTACTGTTGAATCCCTGTATATATTCTTTATTTCAGTCAGTGTATGCTTAATTTCTGACTGGTCCTTTTCCATTTGGAGGTTTCTAGTAGATTCTTGAGTAACCTTATAACCATGGTTTTGAACTCTATATCCAGTACTTTGCTTTCTTCCATTTCTTTCATTTGTGAAATATTTCTTTGTCTCCACATTTTGTTTGTTTGTATGTATTGGGTAGAGTTGCTCTGTCCCCTTGAGTTGGTAGAGTGGCCTTGTGTAGTAGGTGTTCTATAGGGCCCAGTGGCTCAGCCTCCCAGTCACCTGTGCTGGGCTCTCTATGTGCACCCCTTTGTGGATTGTGTACAGTCTTGTTATAGTTGAGACTTGATTGCTGTTGGTGTCACTGGTATGAATTAACCTCCAGGCCAATTGGCTGTGAGGACCAACTTTGACTGTAGTGGGAGAACTGCTGTGAAGGAGACATCCCTATGGAGCAGGACTTGCTTCAGTGGGGCTTAGGTGTTCACTGAGTCTGCCCCTTGAGTGTGTTGCTTATGGATGTATAGAGTTGTAATCTGGTATGGTCTGACACTGACCACTGGGTACACTGACTCTTGGATCTCCAGGGAGGTGCAAAGTCAGTCACTGCCTGTGGCCACCCAGCAGGAGCTACAGAGAGATCTGCAGATTCCTCCTCTTTGCATCGGGTTTGGAAGTGCCCAGATGAGGCCCAGCTATGAAGTAAGGTAGGCTGGTGCTGGTGCTGGGTCTTGGGCCTTTTATTGATAGGTTTGGGGCTCCCTGACCAGCTGCAGCTTGTTTGAGTGATTTTAGCCTGAGCAAGGACAGGCCATTATTATGTAAAAGCTGCTGCACACAACTTGGGTGGGATTGTAAATTGGATGAGGCTGGGTCTTAGGAAATCAGCAGGGCAGAGCAAACAGAAATGGCTGCCAGTCAGCCCTGCAACTGGGGAGGATCCAGCATAGGAACAATGATCCCTGTGAGCACCTCCATCTGGGAGAAAGCCACCCTGGAATTCCAGCCCTGATGCCAGACAATCCAGTTCCTTCTCGTATGTGTCTATGTTCCTCAGAGCCTCTCCTTGGTGCTGGAGCTCAGAGGAAGCGGGACCTTGTAAGTTCAATTTATGGTGTCAGCCTTTTAAAAGGAACAGCTTGGTCTCCAGCAGTTCTTTGTCACTGAACCACAATCTGCACTGGTTTTTACAGCCTGTAGTTCTTACTGCCTGTAGGGATTTCTTTCCCCCACTCTGGGACCCTGAGATGGGGGTCTGGAGCTGGGACCCCTTGCTCCTCCGGTGGCCTCCACATAGATGATCTCCCTTCAGATTCGACAAAGGAGATTTTTGCTGTCGTGGTTAAGGAACATAATCATTGCTTTTTATTTAACCAAATGGGAGATTATCCTGGATGGGCCTGACCTAATCAGATCAACCTTTAAATGACAATTTAGAGATCAGATGGCTTCAAAGATGATAGTCACTATGAGTTCTGTAGCAGTAAGGAACTGAAGTCTGACCAAACCCGAAAGAACTTGGAAGAAGACCCTGAGCCTCAGGTGAAACTGTAGCCCCAGCTGGCACCTTGAGTTCAGCTCTTTGAGATCCTGAACACAGGGTCCAGTTAAGCATTGCCCAGACTCCTGCTACATGAAAACTGTGTGGTAATGAACAGGTGCTGTTTTAAGTCACCAAGTTTGTGCTAATTCATTGCACAGCAATAGAAAACTAATATAGACAGACAGATAGGTGATTGATAGATAATTTTTAAAAGATATAGTTTTGAAGTAATGTGATTGATGTTCTTATGTCATCCTAATATACAGTGGCATTTAGTTTTCAGGCTGAAAAAGAATGCTTTTATACCAATGGTAAAAGAAATAATACAATGATGAATTGGAATATTTGAAAGAAATTGAGGTCTAGCATCTTATTTTACTTTTTGAGTTTTTATTATTGAGAATATTAGAGATGTCCCCTTTTTCTTCCACTGCACCCCTCCACCCAGTTCCCAACCCACCCCTATCCTTCACCAACCTCTAGTCTGTGTCCATGGGCAATGCATAAATGCATATAAATATTTTTGGTTAATCAATTCCTGCCCCCTTCCCCTTTCCCTCTGAGACCTGTCAGTCTGTTCCATGTTTCCATGTCACTGGTTCTATTTTATTTGTTAGTTTTTTTGTTCATTAGATTATACATATAAGTGAGATCATGTGACATTTTTCTTTCTCTGATTGGCTTATTTAGCTTAGCATAATACTCTCCAGGTCTTTCCATGCTATTTCAAAGGGTAAGAGATCCTTCTTTTTTACAGCTGCATAGTATTCCACTAATGTATTGATCAGCATTCTTTCTAAATCTTAGCTGTTGTAAATAATGCTGCTGTGAATATAAGGGTGTCTAATTCTTTCTGGTTGGTATTTCAGGATTCTTGGGATATATTCCTAGAAGTGGGATCACTGGGTCAAATGGCAGTTTCATTTTTTTGAGGAAACTCCACACTGTTTTTCATAATGGCTGCACCAGTCTGCAAAAATGGGACTACATCAAACTATAAAGATATTTGCACAGCAAAATAAAGCAGCATCAAATTGGTTTGGCTCAGTGGATAGAGTGTCACCCTGAAGACCGAAGGGTCCCAGGTTCGATTCTGGTCAAAGCCATGTACCTTGGTTGCAGGCTCCTCCCTGGCCCAGGCCCTGGTCAGGGCTTGTGCAGGAGGCAACCAATTGATGTGTTTCTCTCTCATCGATATTTTTCTTTATCTTTCCCTCTCTCTCCTATTCTCTATAAAAATCAATGGATAAATATCCGTGGGTGAGGATTAAAAAAAGGAAAAAGAAAAGAAAAGGGAACCCACTATATGGGTTCATATTTGTCAATGATACAATGATAAGAGGTTAATTTCCAAAATATATGTAGTACTCATACAACTCAACAAAAGGAAGACACACAATCCAATTGAAAAATGGGTGGAGGACCTGAATAGACACTTTTCCAAAGAGGACATACAAATGCCAAGAGGCCTAGCATTTTAGATGGTAGGAAATAATGAATGAGATATAGTGATTCCAGCTAACAGGTCTACCAGGGCAGACATCAGTGCACAGGAAGGAAGTATATTCCTATATACAAGGGTAGCATAGAAATCTTACTGAGGAAGACACTACTTGAAGTCTGTGTATACCGTATGAATTATTTACAGATATAATGAAAGATTTACAGTAGAGTCGTAGCATAGACTTATAGGACAAGATAATAGTACTGACATAGAATGTTAAGAATAAAATCTGTGTTATAAAATTTCTACCAGCAAGTGGTAGAAAACCTCATCAATATGTGAACACAAAGAGAGGTTATTATTTAAAAAAAAATGACCAATTCCTAAAATCATTGGAAATAATGATAGGAAATAATGATAATGTTATAGGAAGAGGAAGGGGTGAGGTTTCTGAACCAAAAATGTGGCAGTCTACTAGAGTTGTTCTTATGTGACTAGAGTATCTTAGAGAGCAAGGAATGTTTTTCTAGTTCTCTTTGTGCCTTTCTGGAGTACATTTACTTTCCTAACTTTCTGAGTATTCTGGTAATAAGCTGTATGACCTGAAACCCTCAGGATGTGTGACTTTTATTCCAAACCAGGATGAGTTAGTCACCTTAATCTCAAGTCTGCTGAGGAGCCTTTCCCAACTTTATCCCAGCCTGCATAAGTTTGTCTTCAAGGAGTTTAAGCAGTTTATTTAGCATATATTCTCTCTTTATTAGGGTTTAGTTTGCAACTTTCTCAAGGGTAGGAACCACATCTCTTTAACGTTTGTATTTCCTAATACTTAGCAGAGTGCTAGTGTTTAACTGATTAATCTAAGAACTTAAAAATTTTACTTACATTGTTTCAAGGATTACACAGCTTTCTTCTTTAAATATGTAAGTACATTTAATGGTTATGAACATGAGTGTTTTCTTTTTAATCTTCACCAGATGATATTCTTCCATTGATTTTTAGAGCAAGTAGAAGGCAGGGAGGGGGTGGCGAGAGACAGAGACAGAGAGAGAGAGAGATCAATGTGTTGGTTGCCTCCTGCATGCACCTTGACTGGGGACTGGGGTTGGAACCTGCAACCCAGGTACATGCACCTTGACCAGAAATCTAACTGGAGACTTTGGTTGGCGGACCAACTTTGGTTGGGCTCAGTGGTTAGCACTGAGCCCACTGGCCAAGGCTGAATGTGGGTTTTGTCCTAGGATCTGCTTGGGTTCAGTTTCTCCCTGCCAACTAAATAATTATTTGAGCTTGGGCAAATTAATAGCCTCTCAGAGCCACAGTTTCTTAAATCTGGAAAATGGTGATAAAAATAGTACCTATTTCCCAGGGATATTGTAAGGATTAAACAAAATAATGGCTAAGTGTGTAGTATGTTGTCTAGCACATGGCACAAAACCAGTTATTATGTGGTAGTTGTTAATAAGTGAATATAAATCAATTCATTGTATTCTTCCATGCATTGTTTCTTTCAGGGAGTTTATGTCATCCCAGGCAAAAGCAGTTATTAAAACTACTAAAGATTATTTGCAGCCTCAGTTTGGCCCCAACAGACTGTTGCTTTCAGCAGCAATATCAGAAGGGTCAGGACTTCAAAATTGCTCCACACATCAAACAGTATCAGATCATAGGCATGGTGAAATATCAGACCCGGATAGCTACAAATCAAACAGAAACAACAATTCCTGTTTTATATCAGCATCCAAGAGAAACAGACCTGTCAGTGCTCCGGAGGGTCAACCGAGGTAATCAAAGCTGTGCTCTCTTCTTTTTAACCAACTGTTGAGGCTTTTCCCTTTGAGCAGAATTCATAATGATTCAATTGGTTATTTCAGACATTAAAACGTAGCACACTTCTAGTGCTAGGGTTTTGTTTCTGGTTTTTTTTCTTTGAAAGTATAGGGGTAGAAAGTTGTTAATTACACTTGTGGAAAACATGAAATATACTTCAACCTAGATACTATGAAACTCTAAAAAATATAATTAAAACAAAATCAGTCTAGGACCATGATAGATCTTTGCTTACCAGGTATTTGTTTAAAAATAGAAATGCATACTTTTGATATTTAACCAAAATTCCAAAATAAAATTAAATTGTAATGAACTTATTATAAAACTATTTTGTGTATTTTTACATAGTTTGTAATAATCTTTTAACCTAAGAGTTTGTGGATAGGATAAAATATTTGTAAAATAAAAATCAAATCAAGAAACTGATGCTACCATTATTTTCATATGTTTGAATAGGCGGATATATTGTGATTTTAATTTCCCTAAAGTTTTTATTTCAAAATGTTTACTTTGCCTTTTGTAGCATTAAGAATTAACAGGGTTAGTTACAGAACTCCGAAGTAAAAATTTGACATTTTAGTCAATTACATGCTTTGCTGAGAAAATAGTAAGATTGACATTGGTTTTGACTGAAGATAAAACTTAGAAATTTTCTTTTACTTCCTCCAGATAATTTGAAATGAAAGCAATTACAATTGACTTTAGATTAAAAAATGTTGTCATGATCTGCTTGAATTTGAAATCTTTTAAAATAAATCAAAGAACTTTGATAAATATGAAAACTTAAAGGAAAAAATTTTCCACTAAGTATTTTATAATATTAAGACCATATTGCTATTTTATGCTTTCTATCAGAACATAATTAATATTAAAATATCATTTTTAAAAACAAGTATTGTGATGTTTTATAAGTAAAATGATAGAAATGATTTATTCTGAAATAAACTGTCCCATGAACAGTTTTGGCAAACTTATCCTGTATTAAGTGTTTTTAAATATTTAAGTAGTTATATACAACTATAAAAAGTTTTTTGAAGAATACTTACAGTCATTAGAGCTTATATGTATGTGTAAAAAATATCCAGGATAATATGGTTTTGAATGTTTTTACTAATTGACATGCAACAATTTTTACTTTTTTTCTCTCTCTTTTCAGAGTTGCAGAGTTCTCTTCTTTAAAATTTCAGTCGGCCCAGAATTGGCACAGAATCTCTCAAAGACATAAGCTTCAAACCAGAGTGATTAGAGTAACAGCTTACAAAAATGGATCTAGAACAGTCTTTGCCAAAGTTGCTGTACCAACCATCTCCTTGGTAACTAGTGTTCAAAAGTTTTTATTGCTTCATTTCTTCCCTTACTCTCTTTAAAATATAAAAGTGGAGAAAAATGACATTTATTCTGTCAAAATGTTCTTTTTAGTAATATGAACTTGTAAATTGCTTAGGTATACATAAAACTCACAGGCATTCCTTTCCTTTCCTTTTTCACCAACATATAAAAAGTGAAACACATTTAGTGAAACACATGTTATATTTTGTAGAGTTATAAAAACATTTCACTAACAGGATATTAAAGGACTAAAATTAGACAATTATTAGATATTCTTAGTGCTGTAATTTATCTTTTATTTGTATATTTTCAACTGCTAGAAAATATACTGGTGGAGTTATTCAAGTTAACTGGCAATTGCCTCAAGTTTCTGTTTTGATTGGAAGCATGTTTGGTCTCATGAAAATGTATAACTCTCCTTTTGTGAATCACTTTCTCTTACCTCTTGCTTTCTCCCAGTTGCTGGAGGAGTGCACGGAGAAGCTGCGTCTGAACATGGCCGCACGACGAGTGTTCTTGGCAGATGGCTCTGAAGCCCTCGAACCTGAAGACATACCCCATGAAGCCGACGTTTATGTTTCAATGGGAGAGCCCTTTTTAGATCCATTCAAAAAAATTAAAGGTAAAAAAGAAAAGAAAACCCTACCCCCACGTACAGTAAATGGCTTGAGGGATGCAATTAAAAAATGATTTTCATCCTGTCTTTTTTGCATGGTTTAACAAAACTAATGTTTACGCATTTACAGCTCAGTAAGAGGATAATGTGGTTAATGAAAGAAAAATCCACTGACAGCCACGTTTATTGCCCTTCATTAGCATTGGTGCTTAATTTAATATAGATCTGAATAGACATTAGGGAGCCTGCAGGAGGTTAAATGGTGAAAATATAATAAATTAAATCAGAGATTATTGAATTTTCTGTTTAGTTTCTGTGACACCCAACAGACATAATTCATTAGACTTATTCTCTTAGAAAATAGTTCAAAGTTTCAAGTATCACTTATTCATTTACACTCTTGGTCTTTTTTCAGATGGCATTAACATAATTATGAAAGTGTGGCCAGTAATGAACACATAATTCTTATATATATGTAATTTTCCTAATAAAATTTTTCATAAGGTAAATGCTACAGCTTGACTTTTTTACCTTGAAATGTATATATGCTTATATAAATGATAGAAATTATAATAATATAAATTATATATGAAATATGAACAGAAACACATATTTTAGAGCTATTTGTAGATAAGATCCTTTTTTAAAATGTGCATTTACATTTTCTAAACTGAAAACATTTTTCCTCCTTTAGTGGTAAAAATACATTTTAAAAGATAAATGAAAGTACTTCAATCTAAGAATATTCTTCTAGATATTCCATATCCAAATGCCATATCCAAGTCTGTTATCAAGTCCTATATGTGGTAATCACATTTAAATGACACAGCTTTGCCATACAAATTCAGTGTATCTAACTGCTTGCTGTGCTCCCTTATGCTTTTTATATCTTATTAAAAGTTGTGTGTTGTTTTTTTTTTTCCTGCAACTGCTTAAAAGCTGATGAGCCAAAGGCAAGTCTAGGCAGTAATTGCATAAGCAGAAGAAAAGTAACTCTGGAGTTGATTACAGATGAAGTAGTAAAAATTATTTCTCTATTAATGTTATCATATAAAATAATACTAAGATTTCTGTCTTTAATAATGCTTGATCATCAGGAAATAATTTATTGAATTCAATAGAAAGTTCGAGTTAATTTGGTCCTTGTAAAGAAACTTGTTGCTACAATACTCAGTAAAAATTACCCATACAATAGTGGAGACCCATATCCTTTTCTAATTTTGTTTTAACTTTAAATATGGCTGCCTTTATTTTGTATTCATTAATCATCTGCTTGCATATAAGCATGAGTCTTTGTAGGTAAATGTTTCTAAGTTTTTTTATATTCAGGTATTTATATAATTAGTACTTTCTTAAGATCCTTGATTGTTTTTATTAATAAGAAATATTTGCCTTTCTTATAATAATGGGAGAGATATATAAAAAATTACATCTAAGCTTCTTAAAAAATTTCCTGGACATGTATGCTTAAAATACTAATGTTACACACATGACTAAGCTTGGTGGATGATTTTTAAATGTACAAACTAATTTCCCCCTACTTTTTGTTTTCTCTTTTATCCTTTTTAAAGCCAAGTCCCGAACAAAAACTTCTTTGCTTTGTCTGCATATCTTTGGCTATGTTTCACTGTGACATGCACTGCTGTTCTTTTAGCACCAAAATGTTGGCACACACTCCTGAAAATTTCACACCATCTCTTGCTGGATCAGCAAGCTTAACCCACCAAAATCTGGTGTTGTGCAATGGTTTTTGACTGATAATCAATCTTTATGCTGCTCGACAGTTGTTGCTGGGACATGGAGTAGAGCAGGTGGCAGATGTGCCTTGTCTTTTGAGAAAAGAAATGGTAGGTGAGCTTGGACACAGACTAGCATATCACATGTCCATTAAAAAGACTTAGGATAAGTAGAATGGGGGAAAAAACCACTCATCTAAGTTCATAGATAAGCCTAAAGACCAGCATTTGATTTCTTTCAGAACATTACAAATATAAATGTAAATAAATATTATACATATGTGTGTATATATGTATGATAATGTATATGTATAACTTGATTGTGAGGAAATTTCATATGTATGTATATATGTCATACATATGTATACATATTTCATGTCACATACACTTTCTCAAATCAAGTTAAAATTACCTTTCTCGCATGTGTCTTATAGGTAAATCAATAATTTGCCAACTTGTCCTGAATGTACCATAAAAAAATAAAACATTCATGAATACTTTTGAAAGTAGTAGATGAATTTAGGGTAAGAGGGCATTCTCAGACATTGGAAAAGCAAACATTCTAAAGGTAAACCGGGGTACAACAGTTAGCAGAATTGGGTGTTACTCTTTTACCTTTCTAAATGAGCATGAATAATTTATATACAGTTAACCAACCGACATTAGAGTCAACAACTGGTCATTATTATTTCAATATACTGATTTTCAATCATTCAGCCAACATTCATTGATAGCATACTAGGTATGCCAGGTACTAGGATGGATCAGAGACAGGTGGGAAGAAGAGTTCATAGTCTGATTTCTTTTTTATGATTATTTTTTCATCTCCAATTTTGAATTCAGTTTAATCTAAGTTTAATATTTATTAAGTATCTACTATCTGTAGAGTCCTGGCATAGGGATAGAAGCCCTGGTCTTTAAGGACCGTAAACTGGGTAAATAAGTTATAAATCCTTTAAACTGAGAGCACTATTCAACAAAGTGATAGGAAAGGAAAATTTACTTCATTTCTGGCACAGGAAGGCCAAATAAGCCTATGTATATTTTGGCAATTATATTTCCATACTTCATTTTTTTTATTATTTGGAAAAGCAATGTAGATAATAAAAAAAAATGCCTTCCTTTGACCTATTTCCCAGTTTGCTAAGGTAGAAAAATATGTACAGAACATCTCTGTTTTTGTTGTTGTTGTTGTTTGCCTAGATGTAATATTATATTAACTTATTTAGAGAACATCTCTGATTTTTTAACTACTTTACTACCTCTTTTGAGTATCACTGTTGACAACCAGGGGCACTGGGTTTAATAGAAAGCTAGAGAGCTATTCATCACATACCTCAAAACACAAAGCTTGTATATAGAGGTCAGGCCAAGGTCAAAACTGACAGGAAGGATTCCCTATTGAAATGCAATATTAGAATAATTCTTGCATTTTGAAGTTGAATACTTAAGCAGAAAGATTAGTTATGTATGGGGAAAAATAGAAATATTTTATAAAGAAAGTTGATGTTAATCAACTGTCTTGTTAGGTCTTACAATTCTGGCATTTGGAGAGTCTAAAATTGATTAATGATTCTGCTAGAATTGTGAAGATGTAGTTAATGAATTGTTTGAAAAGACACTACTTAAAAGTTTTCAGATTTATGGACATGCAGTTTAGGTATTATGTTCTTGAATCTTCTGCTTAATGGGGCACAGTGAAAATTCTTCCATCAGATTCATGGGGTTTATAAGAGTTCAGCTGCTTTATAACTGCTAGGCAGTGCAAACCTAGCATAAAAAACGGTTCATGCCCTGAAGCTGCTTAAATATCTTAATGAAGATGAGGGAAAAAAATACTGCTTGGAGCTAATCCATTAGGTCTAACTTCCAATGTATAGAGCTCTGGTTGTTTAGAAATTATTTTTTCTAAGTTTTTATTTTCATTCTGTTTTTTTAAAAAATTATTTTATTGTTTAAAGTATTACAAATAGTAGTACATATGTATCCTTTTTTTCCCAATTTCATTCTCTCTTATCTGTTCTATCCTACCATTTGGCTTTAGAGTTATCACTTACCGTGATTCATTTAAGTCCTGAGTTTTGTTAACCAGAAGTGTAACTGAGTATTATGAATAACATTTTACATCTTTTACATACTGTATTGTGAAGATGTAGTCACAGGAAAAAAATCCATGGAAAGAGTTCAAGATATTACACCTAAGATCTAAATTTAAACTGAGAGATTTTTTTGTTGTCATGTGATCTACAAAGTGAAATAATTTGCTGTGACAGCTTGTGATTGACAAGAATATGTGTGAGCACATTTAAAACAGGCCATCTTTTCATGTAGAAGTAAATGTCAGTGAAATGATGGATTCTCATCATTTTAATTATTGATGATTTGGAAATAGTTCAATTCCATGACACACAGGACACATTATAAATAGCAGCCTAACACTTTTTCTCGTATCTGCGACAATAATGAAATGTTCTGTCATATTTTGTTTTTCAAAAAAATGCATTAGTTTAATGAACCTGGATTCACACGTTATACTCTCTTCTATTCTGTCTCCTGGATTTGTTGATTTTTAAGTGGTTGTGTTAAAAGCACAAATTTCACCCTCACTGGTTTGGCTCAGTGGATAGAGCATCAGCCTGCGGACCAAAAGGTCCCAGGTTCAATTCCAGTCAAGGGCACGTACCTTGGTTGCAGGCTCCTCCCCAACCCCGGGGCCCTAGTCAGGGCATGTGCAGGAGGCAACCAATCAATGTGTTTCTCTCACATCAATATTTCTGTCTGTCTTTACCTCTCTCTAAAAATCAATAGAAAAATAGCCTTGGGTGAGGATTACGAAGAAAAAGCACAAGTTTCAAGGAGTGCCCAGTATCCACATCACATCGCCGAGTGCTATTCTTGCTACTGGTCTCAAGACAATGCCACAGCGCTACTGACGCCCATGGCTGCTTTAGTACTGTGAAAGCTGGTACTGGCCTTCCTAGTGCTCACCTGTAAAGTGACTGCAGCTTAATTTGAGCAGACACAGCAGGAGGTAGAGTGGGCTTTCCCAAATTCTCTGTTTTCATGTTGTTTGAACAACATATGGATTAGGTGAGGTTATTTGTCAGTTCATTTTACCTCCCACTTAACTGCATATACCCCAAAGCAGGAAAGTGACATTATATAGAGAAAACACTTTCTTCTGAGATAGCACATGCTTCTATTATTTCTACAAAGGAGGGTAAAAGTATAGGTGTATCTTTTTTTATTTCCTGATTTCAAGTTTTAAAT